TCCCCTCATGGTTGCTGAAGGTTGAATGTTTGGAGGTACTGATGATGGAGGCAGTTCCTGAGCTTGCGGTTGCGTTTGCTTCTGTATTGGCTTCTGCTGTTGCACTGGAGGTTGCTGTTGGGGCTGTTGATGATGCTTCTGCTTCCGCTTCTGCTCTTGATATGGGCTTTGCGAAGGTTGTGGAAGATCCGGGAAATTATGAAGATTTGCAGATGGAGGTGATTCCCTCTGGTGAACATGATTCCTCTTGGTCCTCTGTGCCCTTAGATCTCTAAGGGTTTGACACCCCCGATAATTGGCCGGATGTTCGCCTAGACAATTAGCGCATTTAGCTGGAGTTTCTCTAGTTTTGCTACAAGTGGAACTGTCATGTCCTAGTCCACATCTGACGCACCGTGGTGCGTGGTTGCAATACGATCGTGTGTGACCGTATTGTTGGCATCTGACGCATTGCGGTATATGTTTCTTCCTTCTAAGTTCTTCAATTGTAACCTTTGTATAAAATAATTTAGTAATATCGAATATTTTCTCATTGAAAGTTTCTTTACTTACATCTACAAAAAACATAGGTAGTGGCCGTTTAAAACGTGAGATGGCGTTGGTAATACCTACGATTTTGTATCCGTATATTTCAAGATCTTTTTTAATCTCTTCAATTGGTGTATTGTGATGAAGGTCTTTAATCACCACGCGAGGATTTCTATCCTCAGGAAGCTGATAAGTATGAAATTCGGCTCCGCTGTTTTTCAAGCAGTTAACTATTTGCCTGTAATTGTTTGGAGTCTGGGGGTAAATAGTTACTCCCTTAGAAGTTGTTTTTAGCAAAAAGGAATCTGGTCCTGAATTGGATTGTAAATAAGACACAAGAGCCGCGTAGTTTTCGACACCGGTGATGTAGATTGGGGGTGGATTCTTAGTATTATTAGGTGGTGGATTAGCAGAAGAAGTTTGACATTGGTCATTAGTAGTAGATAGAACCTGGAAACTATTGCTAGTAGTTACCACTACTTCCTGTTTTTTCTGTTTCCTCGGATCCCTGTTTTCAGTAATGTTTCGTTTTCTTCCTGTTACCAGTTCCCATGCTCCTCTTTCGTTGACTGCGCACGGAGCATTGTCGTAGCAGTCCATACGAGCCGCAGCTTGGGCTGCCTCGGCCTCCTTCGTAACAGCGGCTGATTCCGCCTCACTCATAGGTGCTTCGAATATAAGCTTCAATGTTTTAGTTCGCCTAGTTATTTAGGTAAAAATAACTCTTAATCCCGCAGTTATTTCCAAAATTTTTATAGACGAAAACAATTTTAACTTTTATAATTGGCAAGCACCAACTTAAACTAATAATTAAACAATATATATATTATATATAACAATTTTTTGATGACATGTCCTATTATATTTTAAAAATACAAAGCGGGACGGACCGTAACGAAGACACGACACTTATTTCTCACTTACTATGGTTACAAGAGTAATTATAATTACATAATAACCTAAGTTGCCAAGAAGGCGCGAAGTATAATTATATAGATATTTAAAAGAATTAAAATATTTTCCGCACATTAGTTTAGTTCCGATTATTTTATGTTGACAAAAAAATAATTCAATTTCAACTACAGAAAAGATGTAAATTATTCAAATTAGAATTTGAGCATCCAGTATAACAATTAAATCAATAGTAGTATAATTTGTCACATTTATAAAATGAGGATTGATCCGTCGCTAAGTGTGCTAGACCTAAGTACACTTACCAGCTGACCATCCCCCATTTTACAAATTTCAATGATGAAGGCCTGATACCAAGACCGAAACATTTACATTATATATATAATGTAAATGTTAAAATATATATATTTACTTCTAATGACTGCAATCCCCAATCAATTTTCTCCAACATTGTGAAAATTAATAATCGATTTTTTTATTTTATTTTGTCTTCACATATATAAGATATTTTTTTCTGCCTATACTAGACTTATTCATATCTGCCCATCTTGAGGTCCTTCTTTCCAGTTTTATCATTTAGCTTTGCAACATCTTTTTGGATTCGATCTATCCGTATGGTTTTTGGCCATCCATGAGGTCTCTTGCTTACACGGTTTCCTAATGGATTGCTCCTAGCTACGCGTACCGCCTATCTTAATTTCCTTGCCTTCATATCATGAAATATTGCTTGATCAGTTTCTGCATGCTATTCTTTGTTGGTCATTCTCATCCATTCGTTAATTGTTTAATAATCAGATTGAGTTGTGGTTATGTTTTTTTTTTCCGAAGGATTTTTTTTTTCAAACCTTTCAATACTTCTTTCTAGGTGTTTAGGCTATATAACAGAACTGATTTTATTTTAGCATTGTACGCTCTTAATTTAAGATTTTTAGAAATTGGAAATCCTTTGAAAGACAGTTGTTAGCGCTTGTAAAACGATGGTCTATTTCTGAATGTTTGTCATTCGTTGATTTTAAATACTTTTGACGATAAAAAAATTTCCCTATCCTTTGAAAAACAATATTTCGATTTATAATTCTATAGAGAATATATATATATATATATATATATATATATATATATATATATATATATATATATATATATATATATATATATATATAAATATATGTGTTAAAGAAGTAATACGTAAATATAAGAGAAACTACCAAACCTTGTCGACATCTCAGAAAACCAGTTTAGTAGCAAACTTCGTATTTATTCTTTCATGTGTGTGCAAGATTAATAATGTGAAAAAAATATGAAAAAACCATTATATTCAAGGCTCGAATGTACAACAAGAAACACCTTGCTAAACCTTACCTTTAACCTTTCGACGACCGTAAATATCTGTAAGATAAATAACCGACATGTTTGTCAATGTTTCTTGGGATATAACCAGAGAATCAGTTTTTCGTAAATTTTTAGTATCATCCCTTTTCGAAACCCCTTACTTCAGATCTTTCCGCGTCTATTTTAAATATGAAACGAAAAAAGCCGTGTTTGATATATAAGGTATACACCGACCATTGACGTAAGTTTTTAATTATTGATTTTTTAAGAATTATATTTAAATATTTTATATTTATTTTAAATAAAAAGCAACTCAATTATTATTTTTCGCCGTTTTCTTTTTGGTCCACCGAAACGTCAAAATATGTTTAACACGGCGCGAGTACAATTTTAATTCGAGTTAATTCAAGGGTGCAGCTTTTACTAGATAGTTCCATTCCTCTCTATACACTACGCCAGCCATTTTGTTGACTTGCGTGCCTTCGATTTTTATTTAATTTATTATAAATATTTCATTTTATTTATTCCATTTAATGACTAATTTAAGGAGAAATCATGAAATACACTGCCCTGAAATGCAAACAGTAATAAATAGCAGCCTAATTAAGGAACTTACAAGAGTTTAAATATCTCATTTTTACCAGCACTTACATATATAAGTAATTTATAGTAAGGGAAAGTATTGAGATGGTGAAACTTTCCGGATCTGACTTTTCAACGGAAATACACGTTTGGAGGTACGATTAGTCCAAATAGAGATGTCCCGCAAAGTGGTCTGTGCGTCTAAGTGTCTGTGTGTGTATGTTAGCAGTCTAGCTCAAAAATTAAAAGTCGTACGAAACTGATATTACGTATATAAGATTGGTTACATGTGGCTGTAACTTTTTTCTTAATATTGGCTAACCGGAAGTGCCTCATATCAACGGTCAAACATACTTTTACAATTTTCTCAAAAACTGCTTTAACGATTTTGATTAAACTCAGTCTATCATTGTATAATTAAGTTGTTTTCAATATCAATTAGGTCTTATCCCCATTGGTGTCACTTTACAGGGCTAAAATGCCCAATGTTCATTTACGTCTCCCTCTAAAGTACCTTTAATATAGTTTATTTTACATAATTAACTATCTCACATTATTAACAGTTACAATAAAATGTCAAATATAACTTTTGAATGAATTTGATAATTTAATAAAGGAGAAAAAAATAAAAATTCTTATATTTATCGAAAATCTCCGGCAATACTAGTCCAAAGGTATACATATAATATATCGTTGGAAATTGAATAATTAAAAAAAATATATCTGATAGATAGTTGTAGAAGGTAACGGAGAGTGGCAAAAAAATTATAAATAATAATTTTTTAAAACTAATATTATTTAACGTAAATCACATGTTTTCATGAAATTTACTAACTACTGTATGCTTTTAAAATATTTTTAAATTTGAAAAAATATTTAAAATCCACCTAATCAAGGTAATGACATTCTTTAAAAACTATTTTATTGTACTATTATATTGTAAAAATTAAATATAAAATCATTTCATGGATGTATAAAGCATATTTTGATAACCTTAAAGTAATTTACTGTAGTTTAATAATTCTAGATATGATATTATATTTAAATAATTGAGTATCTATAGTCCGTTTATTCCCTAAAATCACCATGTAACCTTTCAGAAAATAAAATTAGTGAATAATTTTATGAATTTTCTGCTAGTGATATTTCAACAGCATCCACCTACAATTAGTGTCACAACTTTTAACCTGTCTATGACAGAATACAAATCTCTTAATTACATTTTAGTAAACATTGCGATGGAAAATAATACTTTAATAACTAATAGTCGGACAATCCATAATCAACGGATCGTACAATCCATAATCAACCGGTGATATAATAAATAGAACTTTTGTTATTTTAATGGTATTTATGAATTGTTAGCTGTAAGCTTTAGCTCGGTTAAAAATTAAATTAAAAGATTTTGGTAATTGAAATATGTGTGTTGAGCGCACCAGAGTTTTCACATTAAGATAAAATCTCTAAAGAAACTTTCATTATTCATTTCAGAAAATTTATTTATTTTAGGCTTTATCATAAAGTTACTGATCAATCATGGCCGATAAGGTTGAAATATTTTTCTGCGTACTTTGATAATAAATTTTATAATTTTTTTTTATATTTCATTAATAAATTATAAATGTAAATTTAACTTTGGTTTGCAGTCAGTTCCAGTGAACAAAGACCGTTACATACCAAAAATGTTCCTGCGAGGTGACTCGGTCATACTCATCGTTAAAGTTCCTTCGCTGCAGAGGATGCCCAAGCTTCACACTCTTCACATCGAGTCTCAGCGCTATCGAGAACCTGAGTACGACTACGAACAGCAACCTCCGATGCAACAACAGATGATACAACAGCAGGCCTACCAGCCGCAACAACAAGTTTACCAACAAGGAATGGAAACTCAATTATACCAACAACAGGTCTTGGAACCTCATATGTACCAACAACAAACTATGGATCCACAGCGCTACCAACAACAGAGCATAGACCCACACTACCAACAACAGCCCATAGAACCCCACCCGTACAAACAACAAACCAAGGATTCTCAGCACTACCAACAACCTGTACGAGACACTCCTATCTACAAGCAGCCGTCATCCGAAACTCATGTTTATGAACAGCACGCCCAAGAAGAGGTCTTTCAGGCGCCCAAACAAGAAGTAATGGTGCACCAACCACCAGCGCAAGAGAACCAAGGTCTATCTGAGGACTCAAATATTCAGCGAATAAAAAGAGAACCCTCTGAGGAGCCACCGCAACCAGCACAAGAGGCCTCAACCAGGCCCAGAGACTCAGAGGAGCAGCCTGCGCAAGAAACGGAGGGTGAAAAGGAGAAATCTCCTGACTCGACTAAGGCCTCTTAAAGCAAAAGATAGACGAGACCATCGTTATATTATTTACTTATATTATTTAATTGTTATATTTACATCTTTTCATTCATCAGCTTGTAAAGTATTAATTTTATTGTTATTGTGTTCTGATCGTAATAAATAAGAGATTTTTTTAAGTGTTTATATGTTCATGTATTTTTGGAGAAAAAATACATTATTATCTAATATATTTTTTTTATCAGCACTATTGCATCTTTGTTGATTCTATCTATCCATCTGCTTTATGGTCTTCCACGTGGTCTTTTGCCTTCTATTGAGGAATTAATTATTAAGTAGAGGCTTCCAGATTGCTACGAGCTACTACATGCCCCGCTCATCTTAACCTCCGTGGCTTCATATCATGGAATATTGATAAACCAGTTTCTGTAAGCAGTTTTATATTGGTCTTCCTTCTCCACGAGTTTTTACTCTGATCCCAGATCGGTCCGATTATCGTGCGGAGAATTTTTCTCTGAAATCTTTCAATACATTTTTCTAGAGCGCAGGTTAGTGTCAAGATCACACAGCCATATATCAGAACTGGATTTATCATATCATTCTACTCCTAAAATAGTGGCTACGTAAATCATTTGGCCTGCTGCAGATCACAAATTAAATTTAATACATTTATCAAGTAACTTAGCATAGCTTCTTCGCCATTTTTAAAATTTAAAATGGGCCTAAATTTGGCTTGAAGGTGAGGTAAGTAATATACCTTTTACGTGCATAAAAAAAAAGAAAACATTAGGTTCTGCCAATATGACCGTTGTAACTCATTGCCCAGATTACATCTTGTTTCTTCATTTGAGTTCAGAATTTTTTAGTATTTTTAGTTCATTATTTTCATTATTGGGGGAGTGGCGTAGTTGAGTGGAAGGAAGCTGAGCTTGAACCAGAAACCAATGCTCAAGTTTCTGGGTTTGAATTTTAGCAGATAAGCAGATAATTTTTTTTTTTTACCGACCATGGATCGTTCCTGGGATTCGAAGACCATCTTGGAACACACCTAACCTCTATAAAGTGGTTACCCTTAATTAAATAACTAATTAAGGGGGAAAACTAGCGGTTTTGAGTGAACTTGATGCACAACCGTTGAAAAAGAAACTGTACTTTCCCTAAATAGTATTGAAACCAAGACACTTCATTGGTTGTTGGGGGCGGGGTGGTCGAATGGGCTAAAGCGTGTGCACAGCACCGCGAGTTGCCCGGCAATCAGATTTATGAAGATTTGAGAGACAAGAAAAGTACAAGTTCGCGTCCCGATGCCAGAGGGGATTTTAAATTCCCCGCCCTCACCCTCCGGCCCGGGAAAACCCGTATAGCCTTAACGGCGAGGTAGGGAAGAACAAAAAAAAAAAAACTTCATTGGTTGTAACGGATGATATTGCTGAAGGGCAACGTGTCCGACTCTCACGCTGGAGACCTTAGTTCGAATCTTTATTCATAGAATATGATGGACCAAATTTCTTATTGTCATTGTTGGTTTATTATTATTAATAATGAATCGTAATCGTCCAAAAAATTTCAAAACTTAACCCCATTATAATTTGAAGTTTTACGTTATCAGGACACGAAGAACCCGAAAATTAAATAAATTTTAATGTATTTTAATTATTGAATAAATTCAGAGATGTATAATTGTTTGGAAATATTAAACAATAATGAGAATATGGGGACGAAGTGGACGAAAGGGCTAAAATACAGCACCGCGAGTTGCCAGGCAACCAGATAACCGAATTCATGAGAGATTAAAAAAGTACGGGTTCGCGTCCCGGTGCCGGAGGGGATTTTAAATTCCCCACCCTCACCACTCGGCCCGGGAAAACCGCGTAAAGTCTAAAATACGAGGTAGGGAAGATTAAAAAAATAAATAAATAAATAAAAACTAAAAAAGGGGGCGGGGTGGTGGAATGTGCCAATGCACAGCACCGAAAGTTGCCCATTAACCAGATAACCGAAGTTATGAGAGATTAAAAAAAATAATAGTTCGCGTCCCGGTGCCGGAGGTAGGGAAGAACAAAAAAAAAAAAGCTTGATTGGTTATAGTGGTACAGCTTTTTTTTTTTTCATTATTGACCTGCCATAATCTACCAAAAAGTTAGCATTCATCAAAATTTTATTATTTTACGTTTAAACGATACGTAGAAAACGAACTCCCAATAACAAACATTTGTCCATCGACCATCCACAGTCCAAGACTTTTCTTCGAGATTACTGGCCATATTATTTCGAAATTTGGAATTGAAGTCAGAGGTCACTTCGGGACGATACATACAATTCGACATTACCATTACATCATTCAGCTGTAAATAATTTCATAAAAGTTGCCTAAAGACTTGCCTTGAAGCTTTATAAATTTATGTATGCAACATACTTCCTCGAAAAGAATGTGATCAAGTTCAATTCAGAGCATTCTTGGAGAATTACTCAAAAGGTACACACGTTTGCTTAAATGTATTTATAATTAATATAAAATTAATGCAATTGTATTATGTTCATTTGAAAGATATAAAAATTACGTAAAATAAAAAAAGATATATCGAATTTTGGACTATTTGATGCAGAGATTTGATGTATTTATATTAATACAGTTGTAAATATCATAAAAACAAATTTTAAAAAAAGATTTGATATTTTGAAATTTTTGCGCATATTCTACTATTTATTCATTCAGTATTACAACAATCTATCTATTGGATATTAATTATCGTGAGGTAGGATAACATTTACACTATATGTACAAACAAATATCAAATAAATAGAAGCAAAATAATAATCAAAAAGTATATGCGAATATTCTAATATATAATGTTATATTGGATATGCAGATTTCTTTTGTTTTTTGTTTTGGATACTATATATGTACCTAGGTTGTCGAGAGTTTTACTTTAAGAATACTTTAGCTTTCTTTTTTCTTTTTTTTCATCAAAAAATTAAGAAAAAGAAATTTTAATGAGGCAATTTTTTAATTTTTTTTTTCAGAATTGGTAAATAATGTAGTGCAACATACCACAAATGTTTGATATATAACTATTTAAGAATAATGAAGTATAATAACCATTCGTAGAGTAGTTCCCTAAAAGGAAAGTGTAGCTAAAAAAGTTAAATCTAACCTTTAAAAGTACTAAATGACAGCCCGGCATGGGATATTAAATTATGTTGCACCATCCATTCTTGTTCTGACAGTGCACTGCTACGTGGCTTGGCATTATTCTATGTGACATGACATTATTCTTAACTATAATCACTTTAGCTTCACTTCGTGGGTAGCTTTAAAAAAAGCACAATTTTCCTCTGAAACCCATTTAGCTTTATCTCAATCCAGTATCTATTTTTTTCTCTTTTAGTCTTAAACGATAATGTACAACATGGTTCTAAAAGAAAATTTCAGCTCCATTTTATCTACACAGGATAAAAATTTACTATTGTATATTAAAAAATTATTGCTGGAAAGAAAAGTTGGCTTTTTCTTTCAGCGTAGTTATTAAGTTCCATTTACTTTACAACTTGTCTAAGAATTAAGTAGGTGGAAGAACAATATAAAAAAGTCTCTTAAAAACACAAAGGTGTTATTTTAACCTACCGTATTTTGCTTTTGTTTATTATTTATAAAATATATTCATTTAGTTTTATTAGTTCATATCTCTTGGCATTCATCATTAATTTGTCTTTCTTCTTCACAGCTTTGCATTATAGGTCAAATTTAAAAAAACAAAATTTTTACATTTATAATGTTTCTGATTCTGCTTAAACTATTAGGCGAATGCTCGGTCCATCTCTTCGGCATCTAGTATGCCCCAGTATTGGGCGAGTAAAAGAAATAGTTTGGTCAATCAATTGATGATAATTGACAAAACCTTTTCTTATATTCAACCAATATTGTGGTGAAACATTTTCAAAACGTCATTTATTTTGCTTGACCCTCAAAGGCATTGGCGATATCGCATTGCGAAGAGATTGGTTTAAACAGAACTTTTAGACATTTTACCTGTTCACGTGTTATTAAGACCGAAAGCGTTGTTCGATTCTATTAAAATTATTAAAAGTTAACGAGTATGGATAAACAACATATTTTTTTTTAATTTTCCTGACTTATCTTTTGGCTATAGGGGTTCTCAATTAATTGTATTGTACAATAAAATTATCTAGGAAGGAGATAGTCCGGGGTGGCGGTCATAAATAGGCTAAATAGTGGCAAAACTATTTTATTAAAAGCTAACGTTTCGACCCGACTTTGCAGGTCTTCTTCAGTGCTGGAATGGACGAGATACAAAAAGATAGAGAATTGTGGCAATTACATAATATTTAGACACAAAATTATAAAAAATGTGAATAAGCTTATTAAAATTATAAACAGTAAGTACATTAAAATATTAACAGAGTAAGCTAAGTAACAAGATCCTTAACTGAAGTAAATAGATGGTAACAATTGTTGTAGTGTAATATATAATATATGCAAATGTGAATATACTTCTTCAGATCTACTGGAGAGATTGAAAGAAAATGAAAAAAGGATATAATATGAAATAATAGACAAAAAGGAATGTGAAGACAGAAAATAAATAATTAAATAAAATTAGAAGAATAAAAATAGAGACTTAGAGGTGTGTTCAGCTAGGAGTTTCACTTAAAACTGGAAAATCAGGGTAAGGGTAGTTATTGGGGAATTTGCTGATCTGTTTGGGCCAATGTGAAAAAACCTAGAAAATCACAGTATCTAAAATTTGAAGATATGGATGGATACAAGGGAATAATACTATATCTATAAAATAATAAATTATAAATATATACATATACATATAAAATAAAATCAAGAGATTATAGATAAGAATACAACGTGAATAAAATCAAAAATGTAAGAACTAAAACGTATATAGAAGTAATATATATATATATAGAAATAAGAGACAATACATTGCAGAACTAATTTAGAAGATATAATAATAAAATAGTTTTGTCACTATTTAGCATATTTATGACCGCCACCCCGGGCCATTTCCTTCCTTTATAATGCAACGGTCAACTATTAAATAAAATTATCAGTTTGCATTACTTGTAAGTCTTAATGAGAGCTACTAAACTATTTAGCTCACTGACTATATTATCTATCTACCTATTTTCATAAAT